AATACAAACTATAATGTACAACAAACAGCCCAAAACAAATAGATAAAGTAGACCAAACAATACTACACATACAATACACACCAAATTTATCTACCCAATTACTGATAATAAAATAGCACAGGAGTTCTTCAACGAAGCAAAAATGAAATACAAGATAAACTTCTCTATAAACAAAGCAATCCTGATAGCTAATTCTACAAACAAACCAAGACTACCCCAAGACCCTACAAAAATTAAAAAATTCAATATTATAATACCTATTATATCATCCAGAATACTGGTAGAAACAGCCAAACTCCTCAGAGAAGAATACTACTTTGAATACATCCTACTAGACTAGATTAAAATATCTATTAGGCCTAACGAAATTTATGAGATTAAAGCTAATAAAAAACCAATGATACCAAAGAGCCTTGTCGAACTACAAGAAGCATTAGAAAATATCACAGATGAAATCTATATCAATGTACCTACCAAACAACAAAAACAAATCAACCCTACTATAACAATTCTTCAACAACACTTCAAAATACCACAAATCTCAGACTATATACTAGAACTCCCTCTCCCAAAACCAACTTGGGATATCTTTGTATAGCTATGTCAATCACTAATAATCATGACAAAAACAACTATATAACAAATATACATAATACAAACAACTATATACAAACAGACACTATCAATCTAGCCTTACATAATGTATGTGGACTCAACAATGATATCAAAAGACAAATATAGCTCGACTACTGCAAAAAGAAAAAATATTGATATAATAAGCATGACAGAAACCAAATTCGCTAAGTCAAAATATACAAATCTACAACTATATAATGAAACATATCACTTCTACACATCAAATACTACAACAACAACAGCAAAGAAACAAGAATCAAGCATGGGAGTTGCAATAGCAATACACAAAAAACTACAACCATATATACATAACATACAAATCTACCCAGGAATAGCACTCTGTATCGACATATTCTTACCATACAAAAACCAATTTCAAATTATAACAATATCTACCAAGCAATAACAAACAACTCAATAACACAACCCAATCCAAAATAATAGAATGGATAGAACAAGCAAACAAACAAAAGATCAAACCAATCATCCTTGAAGATTTTAACCTTGATCTCAATAAAAAACACATATATAACACCCTGATACAACACCTAAAGAACACAAACATGCTACCACTAATCAATACACTACTACCAAATCAACCTACTTGGACATCTCAACGAACCAACAGCCAAATAGACGAGATATGGATTCCAGAAAGCTCAATAGAAAACTTCCACAACTCTATACTCAAAGACTCTATACAAATTACAGACAGCGATCATAAAATAATTTTCATACTAGTCAATATATCATATACATACAAAAGAAGTAAAAACAGAACAAAGAGAACAATCTACAACTATAATATAATAGACACAGAAACATGGGAACAATTTGCAAATTCAATCGAAACAGAACTCACACAAACCAAAATAGACTTACTGAATCCAAGTATAAAAAACCTCAACAAAACATGGTATATACTAGCAAACTGTATTAAAAAAAGCGCAAACAAACATATTCCACATATACACAAAGTAATACAAAACAATATTCATCTATTCTCTCTTATTGCTACCAAACTACACAAGGCATTAATATATATAAACAAAGCATGAAGACATATAAGTATACATAAACAAGTATCAAATACTGATCTAATACACAACTTTATACAACAAATCAATAATCTAACAGATATACAAATTCAAATACAACCTAACACAACGGTCAAAGAAATATATAAAATACTCAAGACAACCTAACAACAGATCATAATAGCAAGAAATATAGAAAACCAAACAGCAAAAAACAACACATAAAGAACTGCATTGAACGAAGATACTGTTACAGTACCGTGGCCTTCTTAACAGCAGTACTATAACAATGACACGGCTATAGGGATCCTTTACAGGTTTATAGCGGTGTCCAAC